CATATTTGTATGACGCTAAAAGCTAAAGCTCTTCAAGTTCCATGCGGGAACTCCACCAAACCACAAAGACGAAACGACAATAAAAATAAGTTAATGAGAACAATTTTTTTTGTACGAGAATAAAATTTTACTGCAGGTACTGTATATCGTAAAATTGCCACTTTGTTAGTAGAAAATTAGCAACTCTGGTACGAACTAATCTACCACAAAGAAACCGACAAAAACAGGTATGTATGGTATGGTATGTATGTAACTATGTTGAGCCTATACATCATGCTTTAAAAATTGGCATTATTTCACATTTGTATGTATACATACATACAAATACATGGCCATACATATTTATATATTAATTAATTTATTTATACATAAGTATGTTTGTATATACTATTTATTTGAACGTTGTATGCATTAAATGTATGTATAAGTGATAAAACATCTTTGGCCGGGAAGAAGCGTACTAATATTACAATACAAGAACCCACAACATAGTTAATTAATTAAAGCCTTAAGTGTGAAAATAAACAAATATATGAAAGTACAGCATTTAGTTTTCAATCTTCAATATATTTTATATGTATTTGTATTTTAGTATTACTTAGCTGTTTTTGAAAAAGGAAAGCAGTATAATGCAGAATACAAACTACACAATTGCTGCCATTGATTTTCATAGGGTTTTTCTTGATTTTTAGCCAACAAGCAGTGGTCATTACATACATAAAACAAATAATAGATATATTTTGTATTTGTTTGCGTTTTGTTTCTTTGTTTTTTCTTTGCTTTTAATTAAACTGTATATAAAAACTACTTGAAAATTTGAAAAGATTTGCTTTCGCTTGCGCTACAAACGACAAGGAGTTGAAGGAAAATGAACTCACGGATACAAACATATGTAATTATCACGTTTCATGTGCTTTTCATGCATTTTCTCAATATACATACGTATACGTAGACGAATATACTATGTAGCAAGGTGGTGCGACCAGTGTTTTAGGTGGGTAGAAATCAAATAAAGGAAGTTGTTATTACGTTTCAAGATGATCGCCTCGATGTAATCCGTTTGAATCAGATGTATGTTTGTATGAAGATGTATGTGTGTATATAAGAATTTAGTGTATTTATTTTAAGATATATATATGGGGTATTCCATGAGTAAGTGAACCTTTGTGTCCAAATATAAAGAGAATTATCAAATCAGTACTCAATAACCGAAATTAACGTAAATTCGAATAAACAATTTTGTTTATTATTAATTTATTACACTAGATAGAAGTACATGCAAAACGTGAACATAAGAAAACTAATTTAATACGAGTATACATTTTTAAAATTAAGTGTTTTTAACATAATTATTATTTTTTAAATGCTGAATCTTACTTCGTCCCAAAAAATTACTTAAGATTGCTTAGAAGAAAATTAAGCGTTTCGGTTATATTACAGATTGAACAAACAATGATTGTCTATGTGCAACATGTTACAAAATAGTGTTTGAAACTTCGTATTTCTTAGTTACTACTTTTGGGTTTTTTCCCCAAAATTTCATAACTAGACTGTATTTTTAATATATATATATATACCTACATATTTAATTTCTTTTTAATTTTCTAAGTGCTAACTTGAAAGTTTTTCAAATATTTTATAGTGTTCCGTCATTTATAAATTGATTTCTAATAGTGCAGCCTTACAACTTCATCGAAATCTATAATGGTAGAGTACTTTATATTTAAATTTAAAAAAGAATTACAATTTTTTCGTTCAAATGTCCCTCCCGTGACTTTGGAATACCCCATATATGTACATAAATTAATAACCAAATGAAGCGATTCATCATAATACTTTTTTGCTTGCTCCCATTATTACCACCAATTCAAATTAGAAAATAGTAATAGAAATTATAGTGTAAAACAAAAATGACCAGGATGAATGTATTTACCCAAGCGGTAAGTAACAACCATGCAGTTTTCTACAGCTTTTGCCGTATATGAAAATCGGGAAGCACGTTGAGCAAGTTTTGAGCAGCCAGAAAGGCACTACGTCATTAAGTTCGGCCATTAGAAATTCGAGAAAAGCAAAACTCGCTCCTTCTAATGTATGGAAAACAATGGAAACAAACAAGTTTAGGTGAAGCTTTTCAAAATGGTCTCACAGACCACAATGAGAGTTAAAGAGTTAAACGTGAAAGCTTTATGTGGATCTAATCGCTTTCGGCCAGTAATTTAAAGCGAAATCGAATGTGAAACTTTATCAAACTGGACCTATCTGTTCTTAGAAACCTCTTTTCAAATATAATTTTCAAATTGCGCTCATTGCGCCGAGAAGCGAATTAAAAAAAAAAAGTTTTCGCATTTATTTATAAAACCTTCTTTAATCTTTCTGAAGAAGTAAAAAATTGCACTTCGCAGTTCCCGCTTATGTATATGTACATACGTATGTGCAATAGGGTGGTCCAAAAATGCATGTGTACAAGTAAAGTCGGAATTTTTATTCTCCCACCCCCTTAGGATTGTTCTATACTGAAAAATTAAAAAATATTTAGAGGTCGATCAAAGCGCTCAATGTTTTCCATGTGTTTCTTATGGAAAAAACACCCTTCATAGGAATGGTATAGAATTCTTGAAAATCAATATTTTTCGATCGGAAAACTTTATTTCTCTTCAGGAGACTCCCAATAATAATACCTAATTATAAATTAGAAAATCTTTAGTATTAAAAAATGGTTAAATAAACAATTGGGTATTGTTATTGGAAGTCTCGTGCAGAGAACCAGAATTTTCCGATCGAAAAATATTGATTTTCAAGAATTCTATACCATTTCAATGAAAAGCTGTTTTTGTTCATGTAAAATACATGGAAAGCTTTGAGGGACCTATAAATATTTTTTGATTTCAAAAAAAGAGGGGTATATTTTTTTCGACATAGAACAATCCTAGAGGCTGGGAGCATTAAAATTCCAACATAACTTTATTTGGACCACCCTAATGTGCAAACATATGGAAGTCCCCGCCACTCCCTTTCGCTTGCTAGTATTTCCAATATAATAATGGTATGTTTTCACCGCTTTTTTGATCTACTCTTAAATGTATGTATTTAAAGCGCCATACATATTTTTTGATACAAAAAGGAATTTATTTTAGTCGATTTTGAATGTCCATACTCAATATGTATTTGTGCACGTGCGGCTTTGAACAATTAATTTAGCGAATATGTACATATGTATGTATGTAGCTTTATGGGACGTGGCCATTTTTGGCGGTGGATATAAGCGGGAAGTACAGTACGAAGGAGCTGGAGCTGAGCTTTATTACCTATCCCGTGGTAATTTTGTTAATTTTAATAATAATTCCTTTATACATTATTTTTACACAATGTTACTTAAAAACTTTTACAAATGTTTGCATTATTTGTTATGCTCATGGTGAAACAAATGGCGAATGTTCAAGTAGATATTATGTGGATTTGTGTGTGTAAGTGTGGAGGACGTTTGTCTGTGGTTTTAGTATTTCTACTTGATGGATATTCTACGTACAACGATCGTTATGGACCTATGTATGTATGTAAATTGATGAACCTATGTTTTTATGTACGACTGTCTCAATAAATGACAATTCGACGTAAATTAAAAAAAAAAATAAAATAGACATGTGAAAGTAAATGGGAAGGTCGAAAGCAAGGAGACTGACGATATGTATGATGCTTTTGGTGTAGCTTATAAAATAATAAATTACAGAACGCACGGAAATGAAACGTATCCATTATATACTCGTACATATGCATACACAGGTACATACATATATGGGAGGTTCCGTGTGTTTGGTTTGTTTAAAATTTTTAGCGTTGATGGATAAACATAAATAATAAATAATAAATAAATTTGAAATTTGTGCTTGATTAGTGCATTTTTAAAAACTTTAGAGCGCAAAAACAAACACAAATCGATTTAATAGTTTTCCAAATATCTCGAGAACGGAGCGAGGAAAAAATTAAAACAAAATCACACATACACAAATCAAAACTGTCTATGAAAATAAATATTTATGTTTAACCATAACCCTAAAAATTTGAAACTAATCAAACATATGAAGTGTGAACCCCGTCCATATTGGTATGGAACGCCCCATATACTTACGTATGTATGTATTTGTAATATTTTTTTTTTTTTTTTTCATTGTACGTAAAGGCTCAGTTATGCATACTTGGCATCATTGCATGAAAGTTGTCACATAAATAAGGAATCTGTTAAATGTTACCCAACGCACAGCATTACATATCTAAAAGTCTGTTGATTTTTGATTTTTACGTAGAATGACATGTTATGCAGTGCAGTGCAAAGTATGCATAACTGAGCCTTTAAGGTGGATTCATCGTTTTAGTTTTAAACTAAAAGTTGAAGTCGAGTTAACAACCCAAAAGCGTTCAGAATTCTTCTCAGTTGCTCTCCCAGAGAGAGAAACGACAACACGACAATCACATGGAAAAAAAGTTCTGAACTAGAAGGATGAATCCGCCTTAAATATGTATACATATGTATATGTTCGTATGTCACACTTTTCATTTCCGTCTGAGGTGAGGTATTTCAATAAGGTTTTACAGACTTTTTTTTTAATTTGATAGCAAAAGTTAACGGTTTTATTAATTACAAAATTCACCCTTTAACCTAAAGCATTACGTTTGTGGTATATCGGATTATTTGAACTGTACTTCAAAATAATTTTGGTATCTTCGTTAGTGGATGGAAGGGCAGGGTGGGGGTGGATTTTGAGGTAAAGGTGAGTGGTGGTTGTGGATATGGAAGTAGAGCTATTCGTTGGGGCCGAATTGGCTTGGGTTGGACGTCCGATTGGATTGGGACTACAGTGGAAGTGTGGTAATGTGTAGGGACTTGGGAATTGGGGTTACATATATATATTATATATGTTTAATCTTTATTTATAAATGCATAATAATACTTCATAATTTGGATGTGTGTGTAAGCGTTGATAACGTAAACAAGGCAATCTTACCCAAGAGCACTCCAGCTGTCCACATTGTTGTCTTTATTGTTGTACCACTGTCCACCATTACCTAAGGAGCCCCCTGTGGAACCCAAGGCGAGACCGCCGACACCACTACCGCTGCCGCCGCCGCCGCCGCCATTACCGTTGCCGTTACCTATGCGTGATTGCGTGTGCGCGTGAGCGTGACCATGCAGCTGTTGTTGTTGTTGTTGTTGTTGTTGCTGTTGTAACAGGTGATGCGAATGATGGTGCGGGGAGAATAACATACGACTGCGATGATTGCGAGACGGTGCGTTACGCGAGAAAGGACGTCGCGTTGCGCCCGTGTGATTAGGATTCAACATGGCGGCAAAATATGTCTCTTATCTCTTAGTACGCGATCGTTTCTCTTCTGTATATCGTTTGAAAGTACAGTGAACAGAGTACTGCAGAGGCTGACCTTAATTCAATTGATGCAGTGCTGAAGATCACTGCTCGTCTTGAGGGTTGGTTGAATGAAGCCTGGCTGGTTGGTTGAGTGGTTGTTGGCCTGGATTTTTAGTTGGGTATTATTCACAATCTTCACTAGCTGAAAATAAGTAAAGAGAATAGAATATGTTGTACTTTGCAGAATCGAAACCTGTGCAGCTAGATACGATCGTATTTATATGTACGTTTTAGTTTGTATGAACGCATGGCAATGTGTAAGAGAGAAACATATCAGCGTAAACGCTCGACTTCCAGTCACCATTACGGCTAATTGAAATTTTAATGAAGTCAGTAAATTTTATCAAGCCCTACTCTTATTTTCAAATTTGCCTTCTGAACTACTGATTAATTTTAACAAAGCGCGAGACTAATCCTCCTCTCGAACATACAGTACGTCCGTACAAATAAATGCCAAGAGTTTAGATTTTCAACGAAAAAAAAAAAAATTACTTTTGTAAAAAAATACCTATTTGTTTAGTAAAATGCCATGCGTAAATATGAGTATGTAAGTTTTATAGTTTTGGACTAAATCATTCTACAACTAAGCATGTAACTATTTGAAAAGCTTTTGAATGAGTACAAAAGGTACATATGTATGTATGTGTAGGGGTTTATGTAGATATGTATTGTGGATTTGCAAACAGTGAGTACCATAAAATTATCTTACCAAAGATCCAAAATTATGCATGAAAAGGCAGAGAGAACACGCAAAGGCCGACCAAAAAGCGTGCAAATGCTGAATAACAGTAGATACATAAGTACAAGTAATTGAAATATTATTTATATATATATATACACATATAATTATGTACATATGTATGTACTTCAAATTAAAAGTAATTTTAGTGGTAAGGCTATGGCAACTCTAGCAAAGTGACTAAAAACTGAGCACGCGGTGAGGGGAAAAAGTGGGCTGTGTAAATAAGAGTGCGATAAAATGAACATTATGAAGATATATGTATGCATTTATGTATACATATGTACATACGCTTAGCCCAGAAATGTACAAGTTTATATGTATGTACATTAGACCACGCTAAAAAAAAATAAAATAAAATTCCTGCAATGCGACCGGAATAAGACTCAAATTTTAGCATTTGATCCTCCAAGAATCTGAACTCTCTAGGACCATTGTAAGAGGTGCCGCTGCGAGCGTTTACATAGTTTTCCCATAGGAACTACAAGTAAGAAAATTAGTTTTTTTTTTTAGGTCAATATAATTTTCTGTGATCAATGAACATGCTCGAAACTGTAAGAATACATTGATTACATGCCATTTGAGTATTGTGCATGCTCAGATTCGTTAAATTCCAAAAAAAAATCTGGTATATACTAGATTTGACCCAAATAGGACACGGGAATAAAAAAGGATAATTTAAGAATTTAAATAATCTGAGCCTGCAAATACTTAAATGTCATGTAATCAATGTATTCTTACAGTTTCGAGTGTTTTCATTGATCTTAGAAAATTATATTGACCTCAAAAGGAAGGAACTCATTTTCTTACGTGGCGGCGGCACCTCTTACAATTGTCCTAGAGAGGTGAGATTCTTGTGGAGTATCATTACTATACTAAACGCTAACATTTGTGTCTCATTCCGGTCGCATTGCAGGATTTTTTTTTTTTTTTTTTTTGACGTGGTCTAATGTATGTACATGCATTCATAAATACAAAAAATCAAAAAGCCATAGCGATAATAAGAAACAACAAATACAGAATTTTACGTTTATGTTTTTTTTTTTAAATAATCAAATGCGTTTATTATGTGCTTTTCTTTATGAACTATGTAGTATTTTGTTTGCGTATTCGAAATGCTTATGCAAATAGATATAATTTGTTATTATTCTTATGCAAATATTTAATAATTCAGCTACATTATACAATATTTATATGCTATTGCAGCAGATAAACAATTAGTGAGGACGAAAGTACGTAATTCCATTTGAAAAAGGTGGAAAATTTGTTTTAATTTTTTTTTATTCATTCTTATTTAGTTACTAAGTACTTAAACTAAGAAATGTTATTGTAAAACATCACAGATAGCTATGCATTTTATATAAACACATACATACATATATGTATATAAGAGTGTATAAGTAGTTTGTACAACATATAAAGCTATTTTTTCGCACAAGAACACCTACAGATAACGGAATTTCAAAATTGCGTGTTATACAATTTTCATATGTATGTATAAAATTTAGCTAATAACGAACATACATAAACACATTTTAGTAAATACAAAAAGGCCATTGAGTTATGCAAATAAATAAATAAATGATTGTTGCTATTTTTAATGCCAAAAAACAACATATGTACATACATACATAACAGCACTGTTCGAACGCTAAAATGGCACACAAAAACGGCTAGACTCGTAAACTGTTTCGGCCTTTTTTTATGTCATTTCAAAACTTGAGATTTACATTACAGCGTAATCGGCGTCATTAATACCAAATGCCCTAAATTTTAAAATTTTATACATATGAACTTTACAGGAGAAACAAAAAAACACTTTTTAAATCAACATATGCAGGAAAATTTCATGATTTTAAATTTTGTAAACGGGTATATCTGAGAGAAATGGAACGGAATTTCTATTTAAAAGAACAAAAACTTTTACTTACGACGCTGAGTATTTCCTGCAAACCAAAGTTCCCGAAATCTTAAGGAAGATGTTAGGAGTATCACATTTTTATATGAAGTGGTTGACACGAACTCGTAAAGAAATTTCTGTACAAAAAGTAAAGAAAATTCTGGAAAATTTCTGAAAGATATTCTTCACATAGCACCATTATTTTTGTTGCTTCACAGATTTTCTTCCGAAATTTCGTAAAAGAATGGAAGTGTGCGTAATTTATTTCATTTTAGAAAATTCGGCAAAAAGTCGAATTAAATCTTAACGAATTCCTTAAAATTTCTTTACAATGCAGAACACTCGGAAAAAAATGGTTGGCAGGGTTGGTAAGAGCTCCTTTGTTGTGAACACATACATTTGCTATTAGTGGGGTAAAATATCGTTCGTTTGCGAATAACGCCATAATCAGAAATAAAATATATTTTGTTTTTGTTTTTGGCCTTTGAATTTGTAATTATGAACCATTTTTAACAAGCTCGACGTCCAGCAATTAAATAAAACGCAAATCTTCGTTCTACTGATATTTTAATTGTCGATATTTGTCGACCAGACACAATCAAGAGTTCGTGAAGATGACCTCAGATTTAGGTCGAAATGTCGACAATGAAAATATCAATACAACGAAGATTTGCGTTTCAATTTGATTGCTGGGCCTCGAGCAAACTAAAACACGTGTGATTTTGCGCCAGCCGATCTTTTCTTTAGTTTAGCTGCTTTGTTTGGCGATTTTTCTGTTTAAATACGTTTTCACTCTGCGCTTCATATATGTACATGTGAGCATATGCTTTTTCATAGTTCGGAAATATATAACAAAATTGTTTATTATGCTTTCAAAATATTACATCTCACAACATTCGAACCAGGGATCTTCTAAGAAGCTAACAAACAACAACAAGCACCTCTGCATACTCAGCTATAGATAAACCTTCAATAAAAATTTTAAAGTGTTAGTACCGAAAACAACGGAGTTACATGCCACTTTTTAAAAAGCCCTAACTGTTTTTGATACTCTTTTTATAAAATTTGTTGGTTAGGACGTTTGTGAATTAACTATGTACACACACATGTATATACATACATACAGACGTTCGAAGCAATGTTTTCCACTTGAAATCAAAGTAGTAGTAGTGTGAATATTGTCATCATTGAAGCTCCTATTGACATTTGTCGGAAATGTGGTTTTTTGAAATTGCGCTAATTGGCACTCAGATACAACCCCCCCTATGACAAAATTGAAAGCATATCATAAAAAATACGAGATTTATTAGCATCCGTAGAACTACTCTGTAAGCATTTACTATGTATGACATTTAAAAAGTTGTTTGCTTCTCCTATAAAGTTCAAACTTGTCAAATTAGTTAGGGCCTTTTATATTGATGGTTAGGATAGATACATACATATGTACATACCTAGCAAAAACGTTGATTCTTTGGTAAGCGCTTACTTCTTGTATCGCTGGAGTAACGCATTACAATACGCGTCAAGAAAAAATGTTCACTTTCTCGTTTACCGACTGCATTTTTACAATTTCTCGCTTACCTCCAATGACATGCCCAGGTTAAAGTAGTCTAGTTTACCGAACACATTACGAGAAATTGTAAAAACACAAAAATTTTGTCCTGAGGCGTATTGTACATTGCGTTACTTCATCGATACAAAAAGTAGACGCTTACCAAAAAAAAAGAAAAGTTTTGGCTGGGTATGCACCTAGTTATTTTTTATTATAAAACTTTTTACATTTATACGTGTACGTATTTATGTAAAAACTTGGTAAATTGATTTTTTTCGAACGCAAGCAAATAATATTATAAACAAATAAATCACATGGAAGTGGCATTTTCTTTTGGTATTACATAATTTTAGTATTTTATTGCCTCTAATTCAAATTTCTAAGATAATTTGCAAACCATTAGCTTTTAATTTTATTTTAACGAAAAAATCCCTGTCGGATGCGGACGTGTGCATTGCTCGAATTAAGAATTTAGCATGAAGTGGATGTCAAAGCGCAGTTGAAGTGCAGTAAAAAATTTATTTACACCACCGAATATGCTATTTATTAGTTTATACATACATACATCTGTAAAATATTAAGACCACAAAAAAGGTTCTTTGAATAATAACTGCTATTACTCACAGCTTAAAACTAAGAGATTATTTCATCAATCAATAAGCAACCAACAGTAATTTTAATCAAATTTATCTGTCATAAAGTTATTATATTTACAGAGTTTTCTCCTTGAGTATATATATATGTATATGTACATATGTATTTCTTTTGACCTGAAAATTATTCAAGCCAATATAAAAT